GCAAAAATTACCATCCTTCCACCTCATGGAAACAGAATAAGCAAACTTCTCTCATAATTTTGCCTGCAGTGACTTACTAATCAACTAAGTGCAAAATTACCAACCCCTCGTAGTTTTTGTTACCAACTTTACGCAACATAACAGAGTACCAAAAAATACCCCATTTCCTTGCTACAAAAAACATAGATTTTGTGTCTACCATGGAAAAATAACGACAGATAAAGGAAAGAGGAACCTTTATTGATCACAAAAATCATTCTCTCATACAATGGAAAATGCTTTGCAAAAAAGGTTCATTTTTAGTCTACAGTAATGTTATACTGCATGAAGTAAACAAGTTATCAATCTGTACATAGGAAAAGTTATCATCCACTTTAGCTAAGTACAAACATTGGATAAAGAAAAGTGGTGCCTTTTAATGCAGATGCTCATGTTGTACTGTAATTGTCCTGTGTAGTGTTCTTCCCAATCACCCTTGCGATTCTTGCCTTCAAACAACTGTGTAAAGAGTAAACAAAACAATGAGTTTCAGAAAAAAAAAGTCAACATGTGTAAATGTATACTAACGTGCAAATGTAAAAACAATCAAGCAGAAGTAGATAATGGATGCTAGCAGAGGAGATAATGCAGAAGATGGTGGAGGAGGGAGAATGCATGAAGAGGACGATGTAGCGCGCACACCAAGCAACAATTCTTCATACCCAAACATCATAGAAACAGGTAAAATTACCAACATTATTGTTTACATATCATCATGGAATGAAAAACCCAGTTTTATACTTTATTGTTGAAGTGGGTTTGAAAATTACCAGCATTGCTACACACATATTACCAGGTTCAAAAAATGCAAATTACTAGGTTTTTTAGGCAGAAAGAAACTTTACTATTGAAGTGGGTTTGAAAATTACCAGCATTGGTGCACTCATATTACCAGGTTCAAAGTATGCAAATTATCAGGGTTGTTTAGGCAGAAAAGAAAGATTCATTCACTGAATCTTCAGAAAACTACCATGATGGAAAACTGTTATTTATCATGCAATATTCCACTAATCTACCAGGTCAAATTGCAGGTGCTCGGGCAATCAGCGCAAACAACAGCTTGCCCAGTGGTGGAACAAATGCACATAGTGCTGGAACAAATGCAAACACAGGAGCTGGGAGCCTTGGAGAGCAGACAATAAGCAAACCAGCAACTCTAGAATCTGCTGGGATCGACGCTGATATGGAAGGCAGCAACATGGAGGCATATTTCACACCTAAGCCACCTTTACAAGGGACAAAATTTGACACCCTGGAGAGCGCACGTGACCACTACAACATCTACGCGCAAAGGACTGGCTTTGCAATTAGGCAGCAATTCAAGAAAGAGAGGGTTGATGGAACTATAAGCAGGGTGCTCCTAGTTTGTACCAAATATGGCAAACAACGTAGGGACAGGGATGAGCTGCAAGATGTGGAGAACCCGGCCAGCATTGTCAACAAGAGGAAAAAAGAGAAAGGGTCAAATCGCACTCAGTGGTCAAACTTCCCGAAAGGTCACCCATCCTCACACTACTCCGGCCCAAGCACGTTTAACTTTAGAGTTCTATTCAACCCCAGCAACAGCTCACTTCACAGGCACTTGTGATATATCTAGCATATCAATCCTATTATACCTTGTTGATGTCTAGGACTTTGTTCATGTTCATGACTATGATGAAATTTTGAAAAATATTTCAAACTTCCCGGTCATATTACATATCATTTTTTGAAAAAAAAATCAAAAAAAATATTTCAAAACCAAATTTTTTTCTGTAACCAGTGGCGCACCACATCCACGGTGCACCACTAGTAAGTTTGATTTTTTTTGAATTTTTTGCCTCTAGATCTTGAAAGCCCCGTAACTTTTTTCTGTTATGTTTTTGGGGATTTTGAAAATGTTTAACGGGGTTCCTTTGGTTAAATTTGGATGTAACTTTTCGAGTAGATGATTTTTCATACAAAAAACTTTTTAATCCGAGTTCGTATGCAAAAGTTATGCCCATTTTACAAATTTCCAGAGAGATTTTGCAAATAAAGTCGAAATTCATATTTATAAATTTTCCCAACAACTAGACCACATATCACATGGGAAACTTATTTTCTTTTATTTTTTTGACATTTCCATCATTTTCTTTTATTTTTTTAAAACTAAAAAGGCGGTCCAGGGGGGAGGGTGCATTCGGTGTTGGGACAAGTTAGTAATGGCGCACCACCCCACGGTGCGTCATTACTAGTTAAACTAGTAATGGCGCACCACACCCACGGTGCGCCATTACTAGTTTTGAAAAAAAATGAATTTTTTTTAATTTGTTTTTGTAAAAAACTTAGTAATGGCGCATCAGTGGACAATGCGCCATTACTAGTTAAAACTAGTAATAGCGCACCGTCCACAGGTGCGCCATTACTAACAATTTTTTTACTTTTTTTTTCAAAACTACTAATGGCGCACGGTGGGTGTGGTGCGCCATTACTATGTCAACTAGTAATGGCGCACTATCCCACGGTGCGCCATTAGTAACAATTTTTTTTACAAAACTTCTAATGGCGCACCTGTATGTGGTGCGCCATTGCTATATACTAATGGCGCACCACACATGTGGTGCGCCATTAGTGTCCATTTCATCTATAGCCGTTTTCCTAGTAGTGCCCTAACAAAATTCTTATCATCACATCGGTACATTCTGAAGGAGGAGCAGGACTTCTTGAGGGTTCTGCACAGATGCAACGTTGAGACTGCGAGGCAGATGCAGCTGATGTCATGGTTCTACGGAAGCGCTCAAGACGTACCCTACACGACACAAGATATTGCTAATCAACGAGCTAAGTTCTGCTTAGAGCATCGGCACGCGGACGTTGGGAGCACAATTTCATACTTCCAAGATATGAGGGCCAAAGATTCATATTTCTACTAGAGAATCAAACATGATGATGAGGACAGGGTTGAGAACTTGTTTTGGATAGATGGTGCATCACGCAGGGCATATGCAAAATATAATGACTGTTTGTCGTTCGACACGACATACATGAAAAACATGTACAAGATGTCGTGTGCACCATTCATTGGAATTAACAACCATGGTCAATCCATCCAGTTTGGGTGTGGCTTCGTTCGAAACGAACTAAACGAGAACTTTGTGTGCCTGTTTAACACATTCCTCCATGCAAATGGGTGGTGTTGCCCCAAAAAACATCAACACAAACCAAGACTTTGCAATGAGGAGTGCGATCGACAAGGTCTTCTTGAACATAATACACAGAAATTGCCGCTGGCATATAATGAAGAAGGCACAGGAGAAACTTGGAAAGCTTATGGCTGATGATAAACCACTAAACAAAGCGTTCAAAGACTGTGTCGACAACAGCTTGACTGGTATGTACCAACTCTGTTGACCCATTTTAATTACCATCCAGCAAACTTGAGAAACCATATGAAATTGTGTGATGCACAAGTTACCATGCTTAGCGTACCATGTGTAGGTCTGCACAAGTTACCATGATCTTGTTGGTTATATTACCAGGAGGCAGTTTCATTGGAATAACATCAAATTACAAAGGAAAAAATGTGTGGACATGTAATCACCATCGGGTACAAACACTACATATGTTGACACCAACTATTGGTTTAGAAAAGTTACCAGACTAGGTGTAAGACAAACAAAGAAAAGAAAACTTTCACATATCAAAAAGAACAAAAAAAGATCTGGAAAATTGGTTCCATGAAGTTACCATCTAATAACTATGAAAAGTTACCAGCATACTTGCACTTTAATTACGATTGATTGTGTATGATGTTGTAATTGTCTCATGTTTTGT